AAGGACACAAGATTTTAAGTTAGACTTTATTATCTTAATTACTTTATTTTCTTCTTATAAAGTTCTTAAATCAATGTCTGCTTTTATTTTGTGGGCTCTAAAATTTTCAATCCCTTAGTTTTGAAAAAAAAAAAAAAAAAAACTTTTTAGTTCCCGCTTCATTGTTTCTGAACCTTTTTCACTTCTCAAACAGTTCCAAGCCGAAAATCAAGAAAGCTGAAAAGCCACCAATGCTTTCTCTTTATCTACGTTAATTAATTTATTTTATCTTCTTCTTCTTTTAATTGCATGTTTATTCACCTAATTACATTTATTCCACAAAAATTTTCAGTTTCAAAGTCACGTGTGTTCATCCGTTTCAAATTTAATAATAATAATAGTTATTTATTATTATTAATTACTCAATTAAAAGGAATGGTAGTCTGAAAAATACTTATGGAAAACATATTTTTACCATGCTGAACTTGGATCATTTTTTGCTTGCATGTGTTTTACGAAATATATATTATTTTTTTAAAGCTTCTAACATAAATTATTCATGTGATCATAATTATACTTGTTAGGATTAATTGGTATGGAAGTACCTAATAGTCATGTATGAAGTTCAACCAACTTATGTCATTTGGTATGGTAAGGAACAGGATGGATCGTTTTGTTAATATTGAAAAACATTACCATCCCTTAACTTATAATTAATATTTAACCAACGGATTGCATCTATCTCCTTCCATCCAGCTCTAATTAATATTTAATACCACGTCTTAACTCATAATTTTTAATAAAATGAAAAAAAAGTCATGTGCATAGCTTTAAATTTTTGAGTGAACAAAATTTGATAGAAGAAATTACTTTACACACCGTTCTATAATAATAAAAATAAAGTCTGACGTAGTTTGGGAAAAAAACTTAGGCACGTGCAGAAGTAGTATAATTAAAATAATACAACAAATTATAGTATATAAATAATATGTTGTTAAAATAAGAAAACAAATCATAATATATAAGAAAATAAGGAAACTAATTTTAAAATAATATAAGAAAATAGAAGAGTGTTAATAACATGAAAACAACTCAATACTAATGTATGAAGTATTTGATAGAATACTAAATCTACTAATTCAAATATTTGTCAACTCTTCATCTAATATATATGTCACAAATACGAACACATCAGAAAATCAATTTAGAGGGAACTATAGAAAACATAAATAGGTAGCAATCTAGACGCTACTATAAGAACTTTTTTTTTGTGTGGATAAATATAAAAATCTATTACATGTTGTTATAACATGCTAACAGTTGAAGGTGGAAAAATAGATTCAGCCCGGCGGGGGAGTTAGCCCGCCAACACATTTTTTATTATTATTTACTGTCTAACAAACTCGTCTTTGTGTGGCTAAAATCATTCGATTTACTGTTGTAAATATTTCAGAAACAAGCATCTAAACAAAATAAAAAATCATATTGTGATAAATGAAAGTTCATCTTTGAGAAATATTGATAGAAGCCGAGTCAAACTATGTAATTTTTGAAGGACTACAGGACAAGCTAATATAATGGCATCTACATTTTATATCAAAGGATCAAACAAGAGATTTTTGCCAAGTTTGGTGGACAGTCAAGTGATCACTAAGCCCACAGGTACAGAACTTTATACATGGATAATAGTTTCGTTTGAACTAAAAAAAAATATTTATTCTTATTAATTACTCAATTAAAAGGAATAATCATTCAATATTTTTACAATATATCATTAAATACAATGCATTAAATATATCATTCAATGTTTTCCAACCGAGTGACTAGTTGGCTTTTCATATTCTTCATCGAATTATTGTTGGTAGAGTTGAAGTATTATTGAGATTAAATACGACGCATTAAATATATTCTTATATATATGTTAATTTTGTGAATAATTATTTATACGTATGCAATTAAGTTAATGAATGGTCTTTTCAATTACCATATTCAGCCTCAACTATAAAGGGTTTATTAAAATATTAAATGTACTAATTCAAATATTTGTCAACTCTACATGTACAAAAAGCTGGATATAGCTAGGTACCTCTTAATGTTAATTTAAACAAAATGCAACAATATACTTTTACGATTTGCATTAATTTTTATGAAACAGACAAACCAATTTTTTTTTCTCCTTGCAACGCACGGGTATATATATACATATATATATATGTGTGTGTATGTGGTAAAATCATTTTTCCAGCCGCTTGACGTCCAACAATAAAAGGTGTATAGTTATGATTCCTCATATTTAACACTGTCACCTATATATATGATAAATAATTGACTGTTAGACGTCAAGCGGCTGGAGAAATGTAAACTCATATATATATAAGGTTCATTTTTTCTAAACTTAATTTAGATAACTTTGTCTAATGTTCACCGAAATGACATCGTTTTGGGGCGAAAATCATGGTTGTTTATAGTTTTAATTTATTTCAGGGTCATAATAGTCTTTACTGTTCTAATTTTTTATTTTTCAACCCCAAAACGATGTCTTTTGGTGAAAATTAGACAAAGTTGTCTAAAGTAACATTACATTTTTTTTTCATATATATAGGCAAAAGTGCGTGTCCTTTTAAAGGACACACACTTATATCATTTTAAGAGAGAGATAAAGGAACAAACTGTGGAGGGGAAAGAGAGGACGGAAAAGTTTGTAATTTAAAATTTAAAAACACACACTATATTCATCTAAAAAGACCATCCTTTTAAATGACAAACTCTAAACCCATATATATATAGAGAGAGATAGGTTATTCTACTTACTATTTTTTCTGCCTTCTTTTGTCTACCACCCTCCAACACCATTAGATCTAATGGTTCTGATCTAAACCCTAAACCCTAACATTTATCTTTCTCTCTCTTATTGAGATTCTGATCTAATGGTGTTGGAGGGTGGTAGGCAAAGGTAGGCAGAAAAATTGGTAGACCTATCCCATATATATATATATATGGGTCAGGATCATTTTACACCAGTGTAAGTTGCACTCTCAATCTTGTCCGTTTATCTCACTTATATCAAAGGGCTCTAATTTTTTAGTCAACTGAGCTATTGGATACAAGTTGATCAATGGTCAAGATTGAGAATAAGACTTCTAACTCTTACACCGGTGTAAGAATATCCTGCCCCTATATATATATGAGTTCATTTTTTCTATAGTTATTTTAGACAACTTTATCTAATATTCACCAAAGCAACGTCATTTTGGGGCAGGAATCATGATGTATTTGTAATTTTAATTTATTTCAGTATTATAATAGTCTTTATCATTCTATTTTTTTAATTTTTCAACCTCAAAACTTTTTTTATATATATATATATATATATATATATATATATATATATATATATATATATATATCAACGAAACAACACTTCTACTTTAAATGCAGAAAACTTTATGTGCAGTTTATTATGAGTGTGCATGACAACCATCTCGAAATCATTTTTTTTTTAATTTTTGTTCCCGAGAACAAAAATGGATAGAAAACTCGTTTGACAAAACTGGTTTATTTTTTGTTCCCAGGATGAACCGATTTAATTTTTGTGCTAGGGAATAGAAAAAAGAATAAAAAAATTTCTTTTTTTTGTTCTCGGATACAAAATGAGAAAGAATTATCTCTCTCAATCACTCTCCACCACCGCCATCATCACTACCACCGCCACGATGTCATCGCCACCATCACTACCATCATTACTACCACCATGACACCACCACCACGATACCACCACCACCACCATCATCACCTCCATGCCACTGCCATCATCACCACCACCTCCATCACTACCACAATGTCACACTGCCACCATCACTCTTACCATCATCGTCAACACCACTATCACCAACCACCTCCACCATCACAGCAGACATTGTTGTCACCACTGCCACCATTACCACCACCACCATGCAGCCACCACCATCACTGTCGTCAACCACCACCACCACCATCGTTGCAGCCACTGCCGTCACCACCACCACACGACGCCACTATTACCATCAACGTCACCACCATTATGCCACAACCACCACCACCACGCCATATGAAAAGAAAAATGATATCCGAAATTTGTTATTTTGTTTATGCTTAATATGAATGATTTTTTATTCTATTATTTATTGTGTTATCAAACACAATTCTTATTCTCAGAATAAAAAAAAACATGTTACCAAACACTTTTTTTTTCAGAAACTGTTTCAAGGCACATAAATAGAAAATAATTGTTTCTTTTTAGAAACAGTGATAAGGAAACAAAATGGTTGTCATTAGGGGTGTAAATGGACTAGGTCGGCCTACAGGGGCTTACAACCTATCCTATATTAGGCCAAACTTGACCTATTATAAATAGTAAAATAGAACAGACTTAGGCTTTTAAAAAAACCTATTTAGAAAACAAGCCATAGACTTTTTTTGTACATGTCGAGTCTATAAGCCTACAGGCCGGCCTATATTATATATATATTTAAAATATAATAAATAAAATTATTATTTTAATAATTTTGAATAATTTAATGACATTATTTTAATTATTTTTAATTGTTGAATGTTTAATAGACTTAAACAGGCAACAGGCCTAGGCTAATGCTTTTATTTTTTAAATATAGGTCAGACTAGATTTATAATTTGGGGCCTACAGAGACTAATAAGTCATAACATACTCAATATCTTTTATATAGACCTAGCCTATCTAAGCGAAATCGTAACCTAGTCTATTTACTCCTGTTGTCATGCGTACCATATATCTTACCAGGAAGACACAGTACAACAATTTTTCTTTTTATTTTGTTAATTAGTGAATCCCTCTGTGCCATAAGTGCATATCCGATTGACCCATATATCAATCAACCTTGAATCTTGTCTCATTTAAATATTTATATTTTTGAAACAGTGAAACATCAAAGGTTGATGACCCTGTCCCTGTCTGCTTGGTGTATTGTGTAGTGTAAGTTGTGGATGTTTGGGGTATCAACATTAGCATGTTCTTACGCTGCCTTCCATTAAACACCAACTTCTTATTCTCATTCCTCATCAATACTCGTCACTTTTCGTCTTCTTCTTCTTCTTGTTCATCTACTAGTTGTAGTGCTACAATCACAATCACTCCTACAATTTTGAAACAATGCAATTCATTAGTCAATGCCAAACTGTTGCATCAACAAAGCATCGTGCAAGGTGTTGTTCACTTTGTCACCAACCTCATCGCCTCTTACATATCATGCAATTCCACTCTCCATGCCATTTCGCTTCTCGAGCGCCTCCACCCATCCCCATCATCCGTTTTCTGGTGGAATCAACTCATAAGGCGTGGCCTTCATCTTGGAACCCCTCGTGTCGTTTTGGGTTTTTACCGTCGTATGAAAACACTTGGTTGGACCCCTGATCATTACACCTACCCTTTTGTTTTCAAAGCTTGCGCTGACATTCCCTCATTTTCTCATGGTGTTTCCCTCCATGCTGTCGTTTTTCGATCTGGGTTTGGCTCCAATGTGTTTGTTTGTAATGCCGTGGTGGCCATGTATGGGAAATGTGGTGCTCTCAGTGACGCACGCAAGGTGTTTGATGATTTGTGTCACCGAGGGATTCAGGATTTGGTTTCTTGGAATTCTATTGTGTCTGCTTATATGCGGTTTTCTGATGCAAATGCTGCACTTACGTTGTTTCGTGAAATGATTAAAAGTAAAAGCCATTGGATGATATCATCCCCTCCGGATGCTGTTAGTCTTGTTAATATACTTCCTGCTTGTGCTTCCCTGGGTGCTTCATTGTTGGGAAAACAGGTTCATGGGTTTTCTGTTAGAAGCGGATTGGTGGATGATGTTTTTGTGGGTAATGCTGTGGTTGATATGTATGCCAAGTGTGGCAAGATGGAGGAAGCAAATAAGGTTTTTGAGAGGATGAGGTTTAAGGATGTTGTTTCTTGGAATGCCATGGTCACTGGGTATTCTCAAGCTGGTAGATTTGAACATGTTGTTTCTTTGTTTGACAAGATGCGGGAGGAAGATATTGAGTTAGATGTTGTGACTTGGACGGCTGTTATCGCGGGGTATGCTCAGAGAGGGCATGGCTGTGAAGCTCTGGATGTGTTTAGGCAGATGTGCAACTGTGGTTCTCGGCCAAATGTGGTCACTCTCGTGTCTTTGCTTTCAGGCTGTGCATCTGTTGGGGCATTGCTTCATGGGAAAGAAACTCATTGTTATGCCATCAAATGTGTTCTCAACTTGGATGGAGGAGGGGATGATGATCTGATGGTAATTAATGGTCTAATTGACATGTATGCTAAATGTGAAAGTATAGAAGTGGCTCATACAATGTTTGATTCAATATCTCCAAAAGATAGGGATGTCGTTACCTGGACTGTGATGATTGGCGGGTATGCCCAGCATGGCGATGCCAACCATGCCCTGCAACTTTTCTCCCAGATGTTCAAAGTGGATAACTCTATTAAGCCTAATGATTTTACTTTATCATGTGCCCTTATGGCTTGTGCTCGTTTGGCAGCATTGAGGCTCGGTAGGCAAATTCATGCTTATGTGTTGCGCAATCGTTATGATTCTGTCATTCTTTTTGTGGCTAATTGTCTCATTGACATGTATTCCAAATCTGGAGATGTAGATACTGCTCAAATTGTTTTTGACAACATGCCAGAGAGAAATGCAGTCTCTTGGACTTCTTTAATCACAGGCTATGGCATGCATGGACGTGGTGAAGATGCTCTCCGGGTTTTTGATGAGATGAGGAAGGTGGCTCTAGTTCCTGATGGCATAACCTTTCTTGTTGTGCTTTATGCTTGTAGTCATTCGGGAATGGTGGATCATGGAATCAATTTCTTTTATAGAATGAGCAAGGATTTTGGGGTTGATCCTGGAGCAGAGCATTATGCTTGCATGGTTGATCTTTTGGGTCGTGCTGGTCGCTTAGGTGAAGCTATGAAACTCATTAATGAGATGCCAGTGGAGCCAACCCCAGTAGTGTGGGTGGCCTTGCTTAGTGCTTGTCGGATACATTCAAACGTTGAACTTGGGGAATTTGCTGCAAATAGGTTGTTAGAATTGGAGTCTGGGAATGATGGCTCATATACGTTGCTTTCAAACATATATGCTAATGCCAGACGCTGGAAAGATGTGGCTAGGATTAGATATTTGATGAAACATACAGGGATCAAGAAAAGACCTGGTTGCAGCTGGGTCCAAGGAAGGAAAGGCATTGCAACATTCTTTGTTGGAGACAGATCTCACTCACAATCTCAGCTGATATATGAAACACTTGCAGACTTGATTCAACGCATTAAAGCCATTGGGTATGTTCCTCAGACAAACTTTGCTCTTCATGATGTAGATGATGAAGAAAAAGGTGACCTGCTTTTTGAACATAGTGAGAAGTTGGCTCTTGCCTATGGCATCCTAACAATACCTCCGGGTGCACCTATTCGAATCACCAAGAATTTGCGCATTTGTGGTGATTGCCACAGTGCCATAACCTACATATCCATGATTATTGAACATGAGATCATACTAAGAGACTCAAGTCGCTTCCATCATTTCAAAAAGGGATCTTGCTCATGCAAAGGATACTGGTGACAATGTAATCAACCAATTCCATTTAATTTATGACATTTTTGCAATGAGAGAGGTATTATCTTATTTTACTGCACTTATTAGAAATGGGGCAAGTTATTCTTATATCAGTGTAAGAATAAGAAGTTTTACACTCATTATTAGTCATTGATTCAATGGTATCCAATAGTTCGCATAACTAAAAAATTAAAGTAAATGGAATCAATGATCAAGATTGAGAGTACAATTTACACTAATGTAAAATGATCTTAACCCATTAGAAATTTACGTTTATCTTTAGCATTGAAACCTTGTTTTAAAGACAATAATAATCAGTGATGGACTAAACTAATTCATTTCATGTCTTCTACTCATATTTATAATTATTGCTGGATTAAACAGTATATTTTATATTCCTTTTTTTAATAATCCATTTCCACCCCCCCCCCCCCCCCCCCCCCCCCCCCCCCCCCCCCCCCCCCCCCCCCACCCCCCATTATTTATAGGTTTTGGAAACACTTATAACTTTTAATTTATAGCTTATGAAAATAAGCTGAAAATAGGTTATTTGATTTCAAAGGCTGTTTTTATGAACTTATCTACATGTGACTAAAAAAGTAATTTGTAAGTTATTATTGCAATAATTAAGTCCAGATAAGCTAAAATAAGCTCATGGAATCAACTGGAAATTTTTTCCTTCCTTACGATGTAAGTACTGTTGATTAAGAAGTTATATGAAATTTAAATGAACAATTAGAAAAATGAACAATTAGAAGCGTAATAATATTTCAATTGAGGAGAGATGCATATAACCTCTATAATAATCATTAATGGTAATTTTCTATCTCTTCTGATTAGGAACAAGCTCCTTGTGAATTTTGTTATTGTGCATATTATTTACACAATAGTCATCATCTGAGTAGTCTCGAACTCAGAAGTTAAAAGGACTGAATAGCATAAGCTTTGTAGGGTTGAGGCTAAAAACTAAATACCAATTCGCGTGTCTGAAACTTGAAAATTGAAACAGAGACACAGAAAATGCAGCACAATGGTAGGAAGAGAGTTGATTCTAACCCTGCTTCTGTTCTTGTTCACACAGTGCTTTTGCTCGATGGTTCCTTTCTCTTTCTCCCCCGTGTTGTTGACTTGTTGCTATGCTAATCTTCCCTCACTGAATTCAACGTTCCTTTTTATTGCTTCTTCTTTACAGTGAAGAATGCAACAAGAATGTTTCAGAGGTGCTCATCAACACGACCAGTTGCTGTCTTGAAGCTAAAATTAAGATGAATGTGGGTATAATATTTGTTTAACTTATGTTGTTGTCAACATGTTTATTCTATCTGTCATTGTCAATTACATGGCTATATATAATTTTTATTTATATTTTTCTGCTTGTTTGGAATCTCAGATTGTGGAAATGCCTGCAGAAGTCAAGAAGCCAGCAGAGAGGTGAATTCGCCCTGCTTAATTATATCTTTACTCTGTTTGTGAACCTTTAAGATTTTCCATTTTAATTTCTTTTTGAAACTTGTCTAGGAAGAAACCTAAACCTAAAGAACCCAAGGCAAAAGGACCAAAGTCGAGAAGGATCCTGACGTGCCCAAGCGTCCTCCCACTGCTTTTTTTTCTCTTCTTGTAAATCTTCTTTCTCTAAAATATGTTTCTGTTGTCTACTTTGTTTTATTAAGTAATAATCTTTGTTACAGGGAGGGGTTTTGAAAAGATTTTAAGGAAGGAAATCCTATTTCAAAGGATGTTAAAAGGGTAAGTGAAACTTAGTAAATGAACATCAGCTTTTGGTTTTATTAAATCATTCACTGATTAGCATGGTTGTTGGAGAAATATAGGTTAGTAAAGAGGCGGTTAAGAATGGAATATCATGACTGATTAAGTAAGTGATTAAGGGCCTTAAGCTGGGTTTTTTTTATCCTGTTAATTAAATTTAATGTTGATCAAACTGCTTTGTTATGGCATCATCGGAGCAGGATAAGAAGCCTTATTTAGATAAAGCAGCTGAACTCAAGGCTGTATATCAGAAGGCATTGGAAAGTTATAATGCTGATCAAGAAGTACTATTTTCTTGATTTTGAGCACATTTATTTTATTAATTGTGTTGTTCTCTCTTTAAAGTTGTTACTTCTGCTTAGGATCAAGAGGGGTCTGACAGGCAAGAGAAGAGGAACAGATATCTGATGACGAGTAGCATTTTGCTGCTCCTTAAAACCCGTTTACTATGTGGAAAGGCTACATAAATGCTCATTATAAGGTTGTAAAATTTGGAATACATTGTAGTAGGAGATTTGTCTTTAGATGCTAATAGTTTAATGCTTTAAAATCTCAATGCAACAACCTTTTTGGCTATCCTATTATTAAGTATTCTTCAATAGTAATTAATTAACACTTATTGTTTATTTAAGTAGACAATGTAGGTTTGGTGCTCTGTTGCCTTTGGCCATTGCTTATTATTCTTACTAGAACCTGTTTGAAAGTATTGATCAGATAATTTGGTGAATGGTTTTAGTTCCATGGGATTGATTTGCGCATTGTATTAAATAGTGAGATTTACCTTCTTGGTTCGAGTCATTTTTCTTGATAAGATGGTTTGAGAGCATAGCATAGAGATGCATGCTCACTTCCACCCGTGCTACAGTTTTGTAATATTTTTTTGTATATGCTCACGGTATAAACTTGACCGATTTTGATCTAGAAACTAAAGCACATTGCATAATGTGGGAATGTTTTATTTTATTAAAATTAATATTGGATTGTAAAATGGAACGTGGCATTTTGGTTGATAGAAAAGCAAGATCTTTAACGATTGTAACTTAACCCTGGGTGGAGTCTATTTTCTCTTGCTCATGCAACATTGTCACAAGGCACGAACACATCTTACTAGAATAATTGAGTCAGTATATCACTGTCCTATTATCCCTAGTTCTTTCCCCTTCATGACTTCAAGGGTTTGCCTAATGAGCATATATTGCCGCATAAGCAACTACTGGAAAGACACGCATAATGCTCTTGTTTGTGGTATCTTTCCACATTGCCTGTTTGCCCTAAAGTTTGCATGTCCTGCGAGCTGATAACCACTCAAGTGAAGACTAGTCACAGAATTCAGACTTCCAATCTGATCTGGAATGTTTCCTGTGAGATTGTCATGGCTCAAGGTCAAGCCTAAAAGATTGACCAGGTTGAATAAGGAATCAGGAATTCTTTTGGTTAATTGATTGTTGTATAGGTCTGTAAAAGTCAAATTTTGTAACTCCCCAAAAAAATCCTGTATTGGCACACAGGGGAAATCGAAGCTAAATCAAGGAATTGCAAATTCTAAAAGGATTGAGACTGAGGGAGATAGAAACAGCCAGAAATTTTCTTGCTAATTTGCACATAAGCCCACAGGAATTGCTCCTGTAATATGTTTCATACCACTTATCACAATTACCTCCACAAGTAATTTAAATTGCCCTGTGAGGAGACAGAGTGCCCTTCATATAAATGCCACTATCTTTGTCAGGTCATTGTAACTGCAATGCTGTAACTAAGCCTGTGGACAAAGATATAGTATCTTTTTCTTTCCTTCCAAATGCTTGTTTATTTAAAGCTAAGTAGATAAGCTGTCTTTTTATGAACAGATCAAAGCCTGTGGTTTTGAGGTTGTCTGTGCAACATTTTCTGAGAACTGAATTGGAAATGAAAAAATAAGCAGGTTTAAAACCTGTCTCAGAAATTGCATTTTTGAAGGTGGGTCTTTTCGAGTTTCATAATTTCCAGTGAAGTTGTGACGTGAGGTAAAGAACAAGTTAGCAAGAAAAGAAGTAAAAAAGTCCCACTCCTGCATTGGTTTATTATCTTCTTTCAGGTAGACAGGAAGGTATAATGATGATGAGTAAGGTGAAAATGAGAAAGTGTGACTAAGATCTATAATTTTGTTGGAGACCTGCATGCAGGACTGAGCAGCCTTTTATTTATAGTTACAGAACAAAAACAAAAAAAGAAACTAAAAGAAAATTTATGATCGATTGAGGCCTTGGATCAACTTAAAGAAGTTCACATCGAAAATTGTAGTTGAGTTTGATGGATCACGAAGACTACTTAAAGAAGCTCATGCTATGGACTACTTACTATCATTTCTTACTGTCTGGCTTTTAGAGAATATGAACCTTTTTCTTGCACATAAAACCTTGGAGATCAAATATCACTGAAAGTACAAATAGATATACAAACATAGTACCATAATATTCGGTTTATGCCTTTCACTTATAACTTACTTGGTTGAAGATCAAAGCCATAAACCCCAGTTACCTTACAAGACCCAAATTGAGGATCCCCCATGAACTCTGAGGCCAAGATTTCTCCTTTGCCTTCATTAACAACACTCTAGTCCATGCAATCCACCCTTCCCAAGAGGTCCTCTTGTCCCACGGACATCCCCATTCCAGAAGAAGGGTCAATCCTCTCTCTGCATGTTTCTCAGCTTCTTCAAATCTCCCCTCTGTCAAATAAACCTGACTTAAAACCACATATGGCTCTCCAACAAAAGGGTTTTTCTTAATAGACCCCACCAACAATTCCTCAACCTTCCCCAACCCTTTGCCAGGCACATCACAAACAGCTTCCCAGTACAAATCCCTTGCAACTATTTGATCTCCTGCATCCAAAACCTTTGTGCAGTTATCAAAAACTGGTGGCAATACCAACTCAAGATCTTCATCTCTCTCATGATCAACCACCCCAAGTCCTGCCCTTTTCTTCTCTTCCATGAAAATCTCCTCCTCTCTCACAATCAAAGCGTACAATGCTCCCATCCTCGAAATCGAATTCAACCACAGACCTGGTTTACCATCTCCCGGCCAAAGTGCCCCAAAATTGTTCCCGGAAAACTCAAGACGACCATTAACATTATCAAACAGCATATCCTGAAAACTATACAACTGATCACAGAAATCCGCCATAGTCATCATCAGGAAAACAGCCACCACCCTCCTTGAAACATGCACACCTTCACCAGTACGAATATGCTTAACTCTTATCCCATCAGCAGGAAGAACACCCTGCAGTTTGTTCCTCCAACCTGCAGAAAATGATATTTCATATATTCAATTATGCCACATCAGATGAGATTACACATATACAACACAGCCAAATTATAAAAGAGGAAAACACACCCATCAATTTCTTTCTCCAATATGTAAAAAAAAAAAGGGCAGGATCAACTTAGACAATACAAAAATAATAACTCTTACACCAAAGTTGATTGATTTCCATGAATCTAACAGTTATAACAAAAATCTTGTGCTATATATCACTAAGGGGGCAAAGCCAAAGAAAAATAGAATACTCTAAGTGGGGCGTTTGGTACAGGAAAAATTTTTATTTGTCCGGAAATCTCAATTTTCAAAAAATATAACTTTTACACTCAGTTTATGATAATATCTGAAAATTTAAAATTTTAAAAATTTTAATTTCTCAGGAATCCAGAAAAAATCCGTGTACCAAATGGCGCCTAAATGTAAAAAGGGAAAACACAACCTTCTTCTCCATTGAAGAGCCCCTTCTCTTTGGCATTCCAAAGAGATATCTCAGATTGATGAAGGTGTTGAACAAGTTCCTCATCAGAGTAATTAAAAAGAAGATCATCATGAATGAGGGGCTGCCTTGGAACAACACAAAACAAGTGAATCAAACGCTCAGCTTCTTCACCAACGTGTCCACGAACAACTTCACGACCAGTAGAAGGATCAAAGATAGCTAGGTTAACATAAGAATTGGAATAAGCCGAGTGAAAGAGACCACAAAGGCACACAGAGTTAGGGACTTTCCAGAGCTTGAGAATGCGGTAAATGTCAACAAGGTGATCAAGGAAGCTACCATGCTTGTGCCAACACTCACCAGCACCCACAGAACGAAGGGTAGCAACCAACGAAGGTAAGTTCTTGTCAATAGACTCAAACTCACCTCGTAAGAAGGGACGAGCAGAGTCTAAGAGGTTTTCTAAGTATTGACTTGAAGATGGCATGTTTTGGTTTGATTTGGTATTGGTATGGTTTGGTTTGTTGGTTAAGACTTTAGAAGAAGAGAAAGATCTTTGAGATGATAAACAAACAAACAAATAGTTAACAAGATGACATGGAATTGGAGAGAAACATAAGAAGAAGAAGACGTGACAAAATTGATAAGGTTCACAAACATAAGAGAACGACAGGAAAAGTGGTTCAAAAAAAGGTAAAGATTCATAAGATGACAACAAACTAGTAAACAAGAGGTCGTAACTAGGGACGGCAAAATGAGCTGCCCTGTTCTGCCCGTCCCGTCCCGTCATCAATCCGCTAAAAAATGAGTCAGTTTGTTTCGTTCCGCTTTTGAGAGTGAACTGAAAAGTTTAGCCTGTTCCGCCCCGTTTGGCGGTTTGGGCGGGTTGGCTCGTCAGTCCGAGCCTATTTTACACACCCGCCTATGCCCGTTGTCAACCAGCAAAAAAATGAGCTCGCCCCGCTTTTGATATGGGTTGAAAAATTGGGCCCGCCCTACTCCGTTTAACTGGTGGGATAGATTGACCCGCCGAACCGAGTCCGTTTTGCCATTCTGATTGTAACAAAGTTTCACGCTGGTCGTAACAAAGTTTCACGCTTACCAACTTATAGATAAGGACATAAGGTTCATGGGCGCCACTGAACTGGAACTGAAAAAAAAAAAATACGTAACAAGAGATAGGGGATAAAAGTTGAGAAAATTAGAACAGATAAATAGCTAAAATGGTCTCACGTAATTATGTGTTAAATGGTGCTTGAACTATTTTACAAACATACACATGTATTAGGGCTTATTTATTCCATGTAATAATTTTGGAAGTTTCACTTAAACCGATCAAGATATATGGTCATAATTTCTTTTACAAATTATAATACTTAGTAAAAGTATTATATAGGAATGCTTGTTTGGTGCACTAGGTAGAATAAAAAAGTTTAAGATAAAAGGGCGGGATAAAAATAGGAAATGGTATGGGCCTTATAAGTTTATATCTTATTTTGTGCACTAGATAAGCAGTTTTATAGGATAATATTGTCATATTCGATATTTGAGATAAATTATACGATGTTATGATATGATATAAATAAATAAAAATATCATTTTAAAAGAATTTCAGATGATTTTTTAACATTGATTTTAAATTGTTTTACTTATTTACTTATTTTTTGTGTGGACATTACAGGGAATCGAACCGCACACCTAATACACACTAAACACACCCAACACCACTAGGCTATCCCTAGTGGTGCACTTATTTACTTATTAGCCCTTACTTTTAAATCCTAAAAAATTTTAAAAGCCACATTTTTAAATAAAATATATTAATGACATAAATAACTTACAAAAATATTCAAAATAAAAAAAATATACTTTCACTAAATAAATTTTTAAAAATTAAGTTTTAAATTGATTATTAATATTGGTGGCCCGTGGTGGTGGTGGCGGCTGGTACGATGGATGACTTGTTAAAGTGGTGATGGCAGTTGTGGGGATTGGTGCAATGGGTGGTAGTGACAGCATCAACAATGGCCGATAACAATTATGGTGGTTGATTCTGGCGCCGTTGGTAGAGGTTAATAGTGATGGTTGGTAGTGGTAGTTAGTACAGTAATGGTAGATGGGGGTGGCTAGTGAAAATTGTGATGGTGGCAGCGCTAGCAAGGAACGATGACAATTATGGTTGATGGCGACAACAAAGATGGTGGTGGTGGTTGGTGCTATAGTCATAGGTGGGGTAGCTAATGCAAGTAATGTTGATGGCGGTGACCGATTGGAATTGTTGTGGCTAATGGTGGTGGTGGTGGTAGCTAGTGGTGGTGATGATGGGTGGTGCCTTGCACATGGTGGTTAGGGTGGTGGTAGCGCAAGATGACAGGGGTGACGACAATAATGGTGGTGATTGGTACGATGATGATAGGTGGGGGTGGTCAATGGTGGTGGCGCCACTGATGGGACCAGTGGCAATTATGAGGGTTGATCGATGGTAGTGGTGGCGACTAGTAGTGATTGGGGGGGTAGCCGATGATAATGGTGATGGCTGGTAGCTCATACTAATAGTTGGTGGCATTGGTGGTGGCTGGTTGATGGATGGTGGTGGTGGTATAGTTGGTGGTAAAGGTGGTTGATGGCAATGTTGACCCTCACGTGCCCAACAAAGTTTATAGAAAAAAACAAAGGGTTGTATTTGGGATGAGAGGGATGTAACATTTGCTATATTATCATGTTTATTCCTAACTCAAGTCCTCCATTAGGATAGTTTATCCAACTGCGAATAGGATAAAATGAGCCAACAAGATAAGCTAATTGTATCTAGTTGGTTCACCAAACAATAGATAAGAACACAATATGATAGTTTACCATATTCTATCTTCTTTATCCTGACCACGAAACGAGTCCTAAAAGTTAGACAATTATAAAAATTAGAAGTTTTTATTGCTTATTTTATAACTTTTATCATTCAATATGTAATTTTTATTAACTCTAAAAAGTATAATGTTTTGGTCTTTTTAATAATAAGGTAAATTTTAATAATGTTAATCTATGTTTACTTTGCATGTTTACATTATATAAATAATATGATATATTTTTGAAAAATTATGTAAAAAATTTAAAAAGTAGATTTTTTATTTTATTTTTTCACTTAAAATGTTATTTTAAAATTTTTAATGTTATTTTCAAAAATTAAGAAGATATTAACTTTTTTTTTATTTTGTCTCTTGATATCTTTGCCCTGTAAAATGCAAGAAAATAGTAATAAAATAACATGATAATTTAGTCTATTATAAGTGTTTTTACTTAGCATTAAAAAATAAAGAATTTTCTTAATCATGAAAAATTTAATAATTCAATAAATTAATGAGGAGATAATGTTAATTGTCATTTTTTAAATTTAATTATTATTCTAGGCTAAATACATATGTATATGAAACTTTTTTGTTTGGTCTACTATTTGGGAGTAGATGTATAATACAAGCAATTTTGTGTTGTATAATATTTGATATGCATAAGTACTAGACAAAATAATGTAAAGTTTATGATAATACCATTTATATTATGCATTAATAGTTTTGCCTTAAAATCTCAAATCAGAAACACTCTGTATTGACATATGATGCATTAGGCCTCCTTTGCTACAGCTGAAAGCCAAAGAAATATATTTTTATGCCAAGTTTGAAGAAAATTTTACATGGATTAGAACTTAAGAACAAAATTTTATAGGGATTACAGCTAAAGATCAAAAAATCTCATAAGTCAACTAATAAAAAAAGTTATAGCCACAAAGTGAATCCATTGACTTAGGGGAAGAGATTGGGAAAAAGGAATTGCAGAATTGAAACAAGATTGTAGAGTTTCAAACAATTGAATTTGAAGGCAAAATTAGAATTCCCAAATTACACATCTTTGAGAGAGAACCAGAAGAAATTAAAACATATTGTTCATTCAAACTCTAATATCTAGATTTTGTTGTTAGAGATGTTGAGTTTGTGCTCTTTTACTAAAGCTCAAATGAGTTAAGAGTATGATAAGAGCCCAAAAAATATAGAGCTTAATGAGCTTAGGGCTAGGGTTTCTTGAAACCCTTATAAATATTACCACTTAAGTCATCAGCCTCATAGGTCATTGAACATAAGAGGTAAGCTCAGATCTGAAAAGTGCCCACACACTTACCCTTCCCCCTCGAGAGATAGTCTGGAAGATCTGTCACTGTTCAGTCTCAAGGAGTTTGTTCGTGTTGCGCCGTTGAGGTGAGCAGTTCGTGAAGTGGAATCGTACATGGGAAGATTTTACACGAGATCTGTGTATCAAGAGGTAAATCAATAAAATGATGATGATTCATTTGCATCCCAAACAACAATGGTCTAAAACGCTTCCGCAGATCCAATTGCTCCAACAATTGGTATCAGAGCCAGATTGCGTGTTTGGATATGGATCTAGTTTTGATTTATAATTTTCATGTAATTAATTTTGCTTCAGGAAATATGGCACCTAGGGTTTTATATTTATCGGCATGAATTTTGCATGAGTATCCTTATAATTCTTTTCATTAAAAATCAATGCTTTATTTGGTTTTGGCTTTAACCCACGGTAGAAATTTCTTTGTATTTTCTTGGGTTGTAACAAGGAGGCTAATCTCATATGATTAGATTTCCTACTTGATTTTTATTTCAATTTTTGTACATTTTCATTGTATTTCAAAAAAAAATTATAATGAAAGAAAATCAAAAAGATGCAAAGAGAATGACGTTCGTCACTATTTGGATGTGTTTATGACTTTCTGGTGACCGATTTTAGAAACCAAACACATGGTGTGAAAGAGGATAGAAGCACGAGAAGAACGGTGGCCGGAACATCCTAAAAGGATGCCAGATGCACCCCCACGCGCAGTCTGAAGTGGCTGCACGTGGGCCTCACTTGTCGGTACAAATCCGGCGCGTGGAAGATCAGTTTCAGGTGGTTTCGATGACGTTGTGTTCGTCTCTTCACGGCAGTCCTTCCTCTAAAGTTTCATGGTGAGATGAATTCGAAGCACGAGAAGAACGGTGGCCGGAACATCCTGAAAGGATGCCAGATGCACCCCCACGCGCAGTCTAAAGTGGCTGCATGTGGGCCTCACTCGTCGGTACAAATCCGACGCGTGGAAGATCGGTTTCAGGTGGTTTCGATGACGTTGTGTTCGTCTCTTCACGGCAGTCCTTCCTCTAAAGTTTCATGGTGAGATGAATTCGAGTGATAGCGCGGTGGACATAACGGCTAGGATTCTTGAATGTTGACTTAGGGTTTCTTGCCGAAGTTTGGTATTATGGGCTTTTGGGTCCATGGTTACCATAAAGGGGCTTGAAACAAAACCTATGGACCAGAAGGAAGGAGCAAAGTTGACTTAGGGTTTCTTTTTGTTTATTTTGTAAAAAAATTTAGGGAACCATGGATTAAAGTCTAACATGCCATATAGAATAGGCGGTGTTATATTGTTGGATAACTTGGTTACATGAGCATGGTGTCTGTTATGTTTATACGACTAGATTAATAGTCATTATGGAAACAAATTCATATTTTGAAATTTAGATGCAATTGTCATTACATTTGACAGTTGGATTAATGGTCATTATGACCTTAATTCTAATTTTCGAAATATGTGAATAACGAATTTAATAATTTAATTATTGTTATGGTAATTATTTTGATTTCAAATTATCCTCATAAATGACAATTATTATGATTTCTATGATCTAGATTAATAATGAAGTCAATTTTTAGGATAATTTAAATCAAGATAAATATTTAAAAATTTCC